CCACCTCCATGACCAAACCGTTGCGTCGTTTATCGACCCCATTCTTCTATGGGGAGTCCGGTAGGGTGTACAACTAGGTGATGCCCTCCGCACGTCAGAACTGGCCAAGCCAACTGGAGGCAAACTCGCCGCCTCGATCGGAGTGGAGACGAAGCACTAGCAGGCCGCAGTGGAATCGCGCAGCTACGACCCACGGGATAAGAATGTCAGGCACGTCGACCTTCCGCTCCAGGGAAAACACTGTGGTGTAGCATGTGTAATCGTCGACAAGCACTAGAAAGTACCGCTCGACGCGGCCCAGGGACAGGGGCTAGGCCCGAGACGTCCAGGTGCAGGGTCGGGAGTGGTGCAGTGGTAGGGGGAAGCGAGGAGGACTGAGGAGCAAGGCATAGCCGACCCTCGACGCAAGGCATGCATGGTGGCGCGGGGGATGGAGGGAGGGCAGGGAGCGATGTAGGGAGACCTAAGACAAGACCGTGCTGGGACATGTGACGCAAGCACGTGAGTGCGGGGTGACCAAGGAGGTGGTGCCACAGAAGCGACGGGTGAGTGAGCGACCAACATGAGCAAGCTGCAGCAATCTGGGAGGGCGCGGCCAACTAGGGGGATGCTCCAACCGGGGGGGACGCGGTGTCTAGGATGAACAGGACAGACACCGGGTCTCGAGGGAACGTAGTGAGAGGGGCACCGGTGGAGGCCTCGGTACAGAATTCATACCGCTCGTGTCCAGGAAACGTAGTTGTGACACCGAGGTCTTGAAGACAGCCGACACCTACTAGGTTCCTGGAGAACGAGGGGAAGTGCAAGCCTGTAAGAGAGCTCGAGGGAATCGACTGACACGGAAGGGTAGTGGAACTACGTGCAACTATCGGACATGAGGAGGGGGCAGCAAGCGCTACAGTGGCAGGTGCGGCATGCAGCGTGAGCGTTCGCAGGCGGAGGAGCGAGAGTGGAGCCAAGGCTAAACAAGGCAGGTGGTCCTACGCCTGACACAGCAGGGGAACCTAGGCTACATAGAGTGGACACACCTATACTAGGCAACACAGGGTAATCGGGTCCAGTCACATTAGAGTCATCTTCATACATGACATACGTATCAGATGTAATCTGATCCATATCCAACTCAAAGACATGCACACGACAACGAACCAGGCTGTACCAGTCGGGGGGGTCCGACGCGTGGCCGAACAGAGACTGAAGAGGTCGTCGAGGCGGTGGTGGCTTCGGGTGGCGGTGTGACCGGGACGGTCACAGACGGTGCCGCGGCGGGGGCCGGGCTGAAGCTAGTGCTGGAAGGTGACCACACTGGAGCCGCCACCCGACACCGAGCTGCACGGCCCACCACCACGGCCACCACCACCGGTGCCGCCAGGTCACCACGGCGGCGGGGGTCCCCATGGCTGCTGCTGCTGCTGCTGCTTTTGGGCATCAGCCCCAGCCCCCTCGTCTGCACCACCATCCCCACCACCACCTCCGCCACCACCACCCTTCCCTCCGCCACGCTCCCCCTTGGGGCGGCGGCCCTTACCCTGACGCCCCTGCGCTGAGGACAAGGCGACGGTCTTAGCAGCACGGGCTGTCTCAGCGACAGCGGCAGAAAAGTCAGAGTAAGTGCTCTAGGAGGGAGCACAGCCCTAGAAGATAGGGACCGCCGCAGTACCGCTAGACTGAGCGATAGTGCGCTGGCGGGTCTCAATCGCAGACAGGGCGGTGACAAAGGCGGTAAGGGTGAGGTCACCTGGGTGCCGACTAAGGAAGTGGTCGCGGGGCAGTGGCAAGGCGGCCAGGGAGGTGTGTGGCAATGAGGTAAAGAGTAGCGCAAAGCGGCGGCGGGAATGCAGTGAGCTGGGCCTCAGTGCTAGCAGCGCGGTAGCTAGTCTCAAGTGCGCGGAGATGAGTGGCAAGGTCAACGGCATTGGAGAAGGAAGTAAGATCAGGGAATAGCATGGGGAGGATCAGGCGGCCAACAGAGGCGAAGAAGGGAGTGGAATAGCGCGCAATGACAACGTCTAAGTCCTTCACATTTTCTACAACGGTAAAGCGGGGACGCTCAGACAGGGGGAGGTCGTGACTAATAGTAAGCTACACACACATCCTGAATTGTTCTCTTTCCTAACATCTGTTGCCTCAGCTGAAACAGCACCGGAGTCGAGAGTGAAGGACAGCGAGGCAGTGGCGGAGGCTGGGAACGGAGCCGGTGCAGAACCTAGGCTAGGCAAACTAGGCAGTCCTACGCCTGACACAGCAGGGGAGGCTAAGCTACACAAGGGTGAGACACCTAAACTAGAGTACACTGGGTAATAAGATCCAGCAACACTAGAAGCGTCAGCATACAAACCATGCAAAGCAGCACCTATCTGATCCATATCTAACTCAAAGATCGGCACGCCCTGGCGAAGCAGACTATGCTAGTCGGGGAGGTCCGGGGCCGGACCAAAGCGACGACGAAAGAGATCGTCGAGGCGGCGGAAACAGCGGGCGGTTGGGTGCGGGCGGCGGCACAGAGTGCCGCGGAGAGGCCCGGTCTGAAGCTGGTACTGGCAGGTCACAGCACTGGAGCTGCCGGTAGACGCCAAGCTGCGCGGGCCACCACCTCGGCCACCACCGCCGGAGGTGCCGGGCCAACCAGGTGGGAGACGAGCCCACGGCTGCGACGGCTGCTGCTGGGACGGCGGCGGCTGCTGCTGGGACGGCGGCGGCTGCTGCTGGGGCTGCTCTAGCTGCAAAGGCGACTGCGTCAGCTCCTGCCCACCCGTGGTAGTCCCCTCAGGTGGACTACAGTCACCACCACCACTACCACCACCACTAGTGCCACCACCACGACCTCCCTGGCGGCCACGGCCACCGCGGCACGGACACTGCTGCAGGTGGACCGCAGCTGCCGTCCCGGTAAGAGGGGTCGCAGTGGCGACCGCAGCCGAAACGTCAGTAAACGTGCACTGGGAGGGGGCACAGCCGTGAAAGATAGAGACTGCCGGCGTACCGCTCGACTGAGCGATAGTGCGCTGGCGCGTCTCGATCTCGGTAAGGGTATCGACAAAGGCGGTCAGTGTGAGGTCACCCGGGTGCTGGCTAAGGAAGCGGTCGCGGGCACTAGCTAGGCGGTCCGGTAGGCGCATGGCGATAAAATAGAGGGTCATGCAGAATGGGGGGGGGGGAGCGCAGTGAGCTGGGCAGCAGTGCTGGCAGTGCGATAGCGAGTCTCTAGGGCACGCAAGTGAGTTGCAAAGTCTGCGATAGTAGGGAAGGCAGCAAAGTATGCGACAGTAGGGAAGGCAGCAAGGTCTGGGAACAGCATCGGGAAGAGCAGGCGGCCGGCAGAAGCGGATGCAGGTGTGGAATAGCGAGCAATAACAGCGTCTAAATAAGCTTTGGCCGTATCAATTGTAGCGAAACGCGAGCGCTCAGACACAGGGAGGGCGTGACTGATAGCAACCTGAGCTACTGCATCGCGTGAGTCCCAGACCGCACAGGCAAGCGCAGCAGTAGAGAAAGCCTCACTCTCAGCGGAGGTGGGGTCAGCAGGGAGGGGAGCAGGTGCAGGGGGGCGGAGGAGCAAGCCATCAGCATGGACAACCAGCGAGTGTCCATCCTGGCGCTGACCTGTAAGCTGACGGCGGAGATCGGAGAGCCAGGCGACGAAGTCAACCGCGTGGCCCTCAGCGTCCAAGCGGAGCACGAAGTCAGCCATCGTGCAGGGTCAGTGACACAGCTCTTCAGCGACACAGCGGCACAGCTCCACAGCTCGGCAGGAGCACAGCGGCACGGGGACACGGCAGCAGCACTCTTCAGTAGGGTGGCTGCGGGGCGCCCCGGCGCGGGCTAGCAGAGGACACGGGGCCCGAAGTGGCATGGCAGGCCGAGTAGGCACGAGGAGGGGCCAGGCGGGCAGGAGGAGGGGCCGGGCTGGCGCTGAAAACCGGGCAGGCATGACAGGGCCGGGCTGGTGCTAGGAGGGGCCGGGCGGGCGCACTGGGACTGGCGGGCGGTAGGAGAGGCCGGGCGGCGCTAGGAAGAGGCCGGGCAGGTGCTGCTGGGGCCGGCTAGGAGTGGGCTCGACGGTCAGTGGGCCGGCCAGGAGCGGGCGCGACGGCCAGTGGGGCCAGCTAGGGGCGGGCGCGAACGGCCAGAGGGCCGGCTAGGAGCGGGCGCGAACGGCCAGGGGGCCAGCTGAGGGCGGACGCGACGGCCAGGGGGCCAGCTAGGAGCGGGCGCGACGGCCAGTGGGGGCCACCTAGGGGCGGGCGCGACGGCCAGGGGGCCGGCTAGGAGCGGGCGCGAACGGCCAGGGGGCCAGCTGAGGGCGGACGTGACGGCCAGGGGGCCAGCTAGGGGTGGACGCGACGGCCAGGGGGCCGACTAGGGGCGGACGCGACGGCCAGGGGGCCAGCTGAGGGCGGACGCGACGGCCAGGGGGGCGACTAGGGGCGGACGCGACGGCCAGGGGGCCGACTAGGGGCGGACACGATGGTCAAGGGGCCGGCTAGGGGCGGACGCGTCGGCCAGGGGGCCGACTAGGGGCGGACGCGACGACCAGGGGGCCAGCTAGGGGCGAACGCGACGGCCAGGGGGCCGAATAGGGGCGGACGCGACGGCCAGGGGGCCAGCTAGGGGCGAACGCGATGGCCAGGGGGCCGGCTAGGGGCGGACGCGACGGCCAGGGGGCCGACTAGGGGCGGACGCGACGGTCAAGGGGCCGACTAGGGGCGAACGCGACGGCCAGGGGGCCGGCTAGGGGCGGACGCGACGGCCAGGGGGCCGACTAGGGGCGGACGCGACGGCCAGGGGGCCAGCTAGGGGCGAACGCGACGGCCAGGGGGCCGACTAGGGGCGGACGCGACGGCCAGGGGGCCGGCTAAGGGCGGACGCAACGGCCAGGGGGCCGACTAGGGGCGGACGCGACGGCCAGGGGGCCGGCTAAGGGCGGGCGAGAGACTAGGGCGCGGGCGGAAGCGGGCGGGGGGACCTAACCTACTCAATACCTTGTTAGAATACGTGAATGATGACTAGAAAGAGAAACCTAGAACATATACCTGTTGGGTTGTACTCACTAGAAGCACGCACCTAGTCTAGCCTATAACTTCTACATAGAACATATGTATAAGTTGACACTGGGGAGTGTTTTGGCACATTGGATGCCTGTGTAGAGTAGTTAACTGCCTATCACACCATCAATCAGTTCGAGCGCAGCGGTTGTGAAGTACCATTGGGCCATGTCGTATTGCTAACTTGCCATGGTGATCTACTCTACAGGAGTGGCCATGCCGATGTAGTTCACTGCCACGTCATCAACCGAGAGATTCCATCTGTTGCTGATTGGGTCATACACCATGCCACGTGTCTCTGCCAGCTGGAGGGTTGGTTGGTTGGGAGGGAGGGAGAGGAGGAGGGGAAGGGTTCGCGAGGGAGCCCCAGGACAGGTGTAAGTGATTGACATTTCAGGGTGGATTCTCTGTTCACATGGCATGGAAAGAGCGAGGAAATTAGAGGCAGAATAAACGGAGAGATGTAATAAACGGAGAGGAGAGACATAATACACGTAGAGACATCATCATGGCTTACTTGGAAATTTGCTTGTCGCAGCATGAGTGCCAACTCCAGGGGAGTGATGAACTTGTTCCAATCATGCGTGCCCTTGGGAACCTGCCAGAGGGGCGAAACATAGGAGTTCTACATGAAAATGGGGAGGGAAAGCACATGTGAGAAGCCTGGGGATGGAAAGAAGAGCCATTGGAGTGAAATTTGGGTAGGACCAGGTGACTACTGGGCCAATTTTAAATGTGGCCAGAACATGTGGTGTACATATGCATATGAGCGGGCAGAACATGGGGCCTTAGAGGGACATACTATACAGAGGACGTATTTGTCAGCCGCAATGGCGAGCACGAAGGAACGAGCGCAAACCATCGAGCGGCGGGGTTGATGGTGGAGAGAAAGAGGACTCCTCTAGGTTTGATAACAAGGATGTTATCCAATGGAGGAGATAATTATAGTAGAGCCATAACTTAAAAAGGAGGTACACACTGTAGAGAAGGGGTACATGCTATAGAGAGGATGTACTCCGCAGCAGCGATGGCGAGCGCAAAGGAACGAGCGGTGCAGTTGATGGTGGAGAGAAAGAGGACGGCCGATAGGAAAGGGTGCACCCCCATGAAAGAGGTACTCATTATAGAGTAGAGGTACGTACAATAGAGAGGATGTACTCAGCAGCAGCAATAGCGAGAGCAAAGGAGCGAGCGGTGCGGTTGATGGTGGAGAGGAAGAGAACGCCTCCGGGGTTGAGGGGAGGAGAGAAGGATGCAGGTGGGGACAGAGGTGTGGATGGTGGAGGGGGTGAGGGTGAGAATGGTGGTGTGTGCATGGATGGGGAGAGTTGCGATGTGGAGTGTGGGGATGGGGATGTGGTGGGCTGAGAGGAGGATAAGGAGGGGGGGGAGGGTGAAGCGACCGAGGGGAGGGAGGAGGGAGCAGAGGGGGAGGATGGTTGCGGTGCTGTGGATGGTGGAGTGGGGGAGGACTGGGGAGAGGCATTCTGGGGAGGAGGGGGAGAGGCGGGGCGGCAGAGGGACGTGAGAGTGCGAATGAAAGCTGCAGGGTCGGACACGTGCTCGATCACCTGCAGGGTGAGGAGGGTGAAGACAGGGGGGCGAGGGAGGAAGGGGCAGAAGGGGGGGCCGATAGGGGTGCTGCGTATAGTGGAACCGGGGAGAGCCGGGGAGAAGAATCATGCGAGAAGAACTGGGGAGAACTGAGTCGACTCAAAAGACACCTACGGATAGTGGAGCCAGGGAGAGCTGGGGAGAGCTGGGGAGAGGAATCATGTGAGGAGGAGGGGGTAAGGCAGGGCGGCAGAGAGATGTGAGAGTGCCAGGGAAAGCAGCAGGGTCTGACACGTGCTCCATCACCTGCAGACTAGAACGTTTCGCACAGGTTGGGCAGGCACCTTCAAACTACAGATCTGAACTGCCGGGTCGGATCATGCAGTGCTGATCTCCAACATCATCGCGCGGTGAGAACAGAAATGGCGCAAAGGTAGGGGAATTAGAATGTTGAGTAGTGATGATCGGAACGTAGCAGCTTCTGGTATAGGCACGTTGAATCCCATAGTAACGCCCATGTTGAGTAGTGATGATAGAGCAGCTTCTGGTATAGGAACGTTGTATCCCATAGTAACGCCCATGTCGAATCCCACAGTAACGTATTGACCTCACCTCTAATGAGAGCACAGCATCGAATGTGGCCCCCTGTGCTGCAAGGTCCTCTGCAAGTGTTCATGAGGAAGACAACGAGCGAACACGGGAGTGAGGAGTTAGAAGGCCAGCGAGCGCAGTGTGAGAAGGGAGCGAACTGGGAGCAGCGAAAGAACAGGAGAGAGAAATGAAGGAAACAACAAGATATTAAAATAGGGGGGAAAAAAAGCTTGAAGGACTTGGTCATAGGACTCTCCGGGTGCTGAAATATTTACCAGCAGATATGCACTTATAGGATATTGCACGAGTCACAGGATATCGTGCCTGATGCATAACGAGACACACACATGCATTACGCAAGCATGAGCGCCCCCCACCTCCCCCCCACGCGCACGCGCATGCATACGCACACACACAAAACACACGCACACAAAAAGATGTCGGCAGGTGAGCATGGAGAATTGAGCTGGTAGGGCAAAGGAATCTGATGGATGCATTCTGACCGACAACCACGCAATAACATGCAAGGCGAGGTCTGCTTTTGAGTGTGGCACCCAGCAGCAAGCAGGTGAGCGTGGAAACGATTGAGCTGGTTGGGCAAGGGAAACGATTTGAGCTGGTAACATGCAAGGCGAGGTTCGCACACAGGAAGGCACAGCAGGAGTGGGAACGCACAGCATGAGCAGCAGCCACTTGTGTGTTGACACGTGTCACGTCAACGCCTGTCACTGTAGCTCCCAGGCGAGCCAGCGGCTGGTGAAAGCGACAAAAGGAAGGAGGGTGGGGTTGGGTTGGGTTGGGAGCGGGCGAGAGGGAAAAGGAGAAGAGAGCGAGTGAAACGACGAAGGCAGTAAGTTGCAGGTTAATTCTGTGACTTTTTGGTAACTAAGCAAGACGATTTGTTACGTGGCAAGACCATTTGTTATGTGGCAAGACGATTTGTTACGTGGCAAGACCATTTGTTACGTGGCAAGACGATTTGTTACGTGGCAAGACGATTTGTTACGTGGCAAGACCATTTGTTACGTGGCAAGACCACTTGTTACGTGGCGCAGACCGATGACAACGGACCGTCAAGGGGGGAAGAAGTGGACCAAGGGAAGAAGTGGACCAAGGGAAGAAAAGAAACAAAAAGAGGCAATGAAGCTTGCAAAGCCGGCCGCTATATCCTAAAAAATGTAATGCCCATGCCTATCGAAACATGGCAATTCCCCTCACCTCACACAACAGCCCCCCACCACACCCCACGTCAACCACTCTGAGCCCTTCAAGGGGTCGGGCAGAGTCTGCATTCAGACTGAGAGATGGGGGAACACAGAACGGAGCAGAGGACAACAGAGCTGGGATTCGGGAAGAGCAAAGCATGATGGAGCCATTGAGAGAGGCCTCAAAGCTCGACCACAAGAGGGTAGATAGACTGCCTTTTGAGGCTAGACATGGGCAGCATGCCGAGCCTGGCTCGACTCGGCTCGACTCGAACTCGAGCCAGGCAAAAGTCAAGCCGAGCCGACTCGGCTCGACCCGAGCCGGCTGCCCCAAAATGGTTGGCTCGACTCAGGGGTTCAGGGTCGAGCCAAGGGTCGGCTCGACTTTGGCTCTGCTCGGCTCGACTCGCCAAAAGGGTTTCTTCTCCATCTTTTGAAAAGGTCTTGCTAGATCGCTGTAAATGTTCTGCACGTAAAGGTCCCTACCTAAGCCCTTACATCCTTCCTACAACACCAAAAGGTAGTCGAAAAAAATATGAAGTAGCGGTTTTGGTGGAGAGAGGGCAACCTAGAGTGGCGAAATAGCTCAGATGTAGGCTTAGGCTCGATGGCAGAAACCTAGAATGGATTGTCAACTTCCAGGGGGGTCGAATTTTGACCCCCCACAGGTGAGCCGCGCGCTTCGGGAGTCGAGTCAAAGTCGAGCCGGCTCGACTTCTGCTCCCCCTGAAATTTGCGACGAGTCGAGTCGAGCCGCGCGGCTCGACCGGCTCGACCCGGCTCGACTCGGGGCGAGCCGGCCCAAAAAAAAAACCGGCTCGACTCGCCAAAAAGGCGAGGCGAGTCGAGCCGAGTCGAGCCAGGCTCGGCATGCTGCCCATGTTTATTTGAGGCCCCTCTAAAGGCCAGTTAGAGCGGCTTGAAGTGGAGATGAGAATAGGTTAGTGGGCTTTGTGCTAGACAGGTGACAAAAGGGAAGACCGGTGCGACATCGTACCAAGGGGATGTGGGCCTGGTAAGAGATTTTTGAGAATTCTAAATAATCTCATGCAGGGAGGTGAGCCTGGTGGTCGCTCATACTAGACATGGGCATGAGCCGAGCCTGGCTTGGCTCGGCTCGTTTGGGGTCGAGCCGAGCCGGCTCGCCTCGAGCCGGGTCCTCAGGATCCCCGGCTCGGCTCGTGAAAATGGGGTCGAGCCGGGGCCGGCGAGCCGGCGAGCCGGCTCGGCTTGGCTCGTCAGGGGGTCTTGTGCGGGCTCTCAATTGGGGCCACGGGGTTGGGGTCTCTAGTATAGGGGATAATCCAGATTGTTTAGCTGATCGCCTGCTCCTTCATCTTACAAAACTATCAGGGGGAGCTGCCGGTTTAAATATGGCTGGCTGAGGTCGATAGACTAGCGCGACAGGGTGAGGTTAGGGTTGGCAGACAATATTGGCGGGGAGGGGGGGTGTTGTCGATCTGAAATTTGACAGTCGCGAAACCCCCCTTTCCCTAACCGCGAGCCGGCTGGCTCGAAATCGAGCCAGCTCGAGCCGGCTCGACTCCGGCTCGCCTGATTTCACGTGCGCGAGCCGAGCCGAGCCGTCGGCTCGAGTCGAGCCGAGCCGGCTCGGCTCGCCGAGCCAGGTGTGGCTCGGCTTGTGCCCATGTCTAGCTCATACCCACACCGACAAATCAATGGCCTTCCACCCGTGCAAGTGCTTCCTGTCTAACCAATCACATCATCTTACAAGTTAATCACTTCCCCCCTCACCGACCCGCACCCTCTCTCACCTGCACACACTCTCTCTCACCCACCCTCACCCTCTCTCACCCGCACACACTCTCTCTCACCCATCCGCAACCTCGCCCACCGCACACGCTCACCACCCCTCTCACCCACCTACCCCATCTAATCTAAGGGTCAATGCCTCCAAGTGGATGCGCTCAATCGACCCAACGGCTTCCCAAGTGCCGACACAAGGCGTCGCGCACGAACGCCACGCTAACAGCTGCAGGTCACATGGCGTTTACCATGTGTCAAAGGTTGGGTGTAGATACACCCTTTCCCTGTCTCTCACCCGCCCTCTCTCACCCGAAGTGCCTACACATGGCGTCGCGCACGAATGACACGCGGGCTGCTGACATGGCATGCAGAGGGGCGTGCGGGCCCTTGCGGTCCCACCTGGAGCAGACGAAAGGGAAATGGGGCGCTTAGGAGGGGGCAGCTGACATGTGATGCAGAGGAGGGACGGGGGATCTTGGGGGGTTTAGGAGGGGCGTGCCGGCCCCTGCGATCCCACCTGGAGCAGACGAAAGGGATGGGGGACATGGGGCGCTTAGGACGGGGCATCTGACATGTGGTGCAGGAGGGCATGTGGGCCCCAAGAAAGGGATGGGGGAAATATGGAGTATAGGAGGGTCCAGCTGACATGGCATGCAGAGGAGGGATGGGGGATATGGGGCGTTTAGGAGGGGCGTGCGGGACCCTGCAATCCCACTGGATCAGAAGAAAGGGGTGGGGGACTTGGGGAGTCTTGTAGGGTCCAGCTGACTGACATGGCATGCAGAGGGGGGGAGTGCTGCTTTTGGGTCGACTCAAAAGAAGGGGATGGGGGACATGGCGAGTCTTGGAGGGTCCAGCGGACATGGCATGCAGAGGGGGGTGTGGCCCCCTGCGATCCCACCTGGACAGGGAGAGATGGAGAGAGAAGAATGACAAGGCAATGCGGAAGTCATGGGCTTAAGAAAGGAGGCTCCCGCACAGATCGCGAAACCTTAGCAGCTATGGAAGACATCACGAAGTCTCTTTCTCGCCTGAGCTCACCATTGGCTGGCGAGAGCTTCGAATTTCGCCACCTCTTCGCCATCGACACTCGCCGACGTGACTCTCCCACTCGATGCCGCTTCCCCTGGTGCGCGTCCTGCAGTTGAATCACCCGCAACGGCGGCGGACGCATCGGCGGGATCGGCGGAGGCGGAAGCATTGTGGGCGGCAACCGCGGCCGATGAGAATACCCCCCGAGCAATCGCCGGGGAAGCTAGGCGGAAGCACGCACTCCGCAACACCGCAGAATTGCGGGAAACGCGGGCCAGGACGGACATGGCGGTGAGCGCTTTTATTGTTGAACGCTAGAGGTGGGGGGCAGAGAAGAGTACAGCAGTCCTGTCTTGGCTGCACAAGGTGGGGGGCAGAGACGAGTACAGCAGTCCTGGCTGGGCTGCCCAAGAAAGGGGGCAGAGAAGAGACCAGCAGTCCTGGCGTGGCTGCATGAGAGGTGGGGGGCAGACAAGCAGTGCTGTCTTGGCTGCAGAAGAAGGGGGAAGAGAGGAGTACAGCAGTGCTGTCTTGGCTGCACAAGGTGAAGGGCAGAGAAGAGTACATCAGTCCTGGCTGGGCTGCACGAGAAAGGGGGCAGAGAAGAGACCAGCAGTCTTGGTTTGGCTGGTCCAAACAGACGGCTGATTGCCTCTTACCAGTCCTGGCTTGGATGCACAAGAATGCGGATAGAGAAGAGTACAGCAGTCCTGGGTTGCTGGACCAGACAGGCGGCTGATTGCCTATTACCAGTCCTGGCTTGGTTGCACAGGGAGAGGGGACAGGGAAGAGTACAGTAGTCCACTTACCCCTGATGCTCACCTGCCGTGTGACTCCGGCGTGCCGACGTTGTTGATGAGTACCTCGGATTATCGGCGCTGCTGCCTGCAGTCCGACCCCCCCTCCCTCCGTGGCGGGTTTGCGCGGTCCCGAGGCTGCGTCCGCGGCGTGCGTTGCTGATTGGTACCTGCACATGGGTTGCGACTCACCAGCTAGTGTTTGGTAAGTAGTGGCGGCGCTGTTTTGGTGGGGCGACCGGTTCTCGACTCCCCTGCGGGCTACAGCGCGGGCATGTGCCTGGCGTTGATGGGCAGCTGCGAGCGAAGTGTTGGCGTGGTGGTATCGTGGGTCGCCAGGCAGTTCGCAATACACCGTGGCAAGCCAGAGGGACGAGGCCTGTGGATGTCGTAGCTGGCAGGTCGCCGTGCGTTCCAGGGTGGGTGGGAGCAAGTTCGCGTGTGGTTGCGAGAGCAGTCCTAATGCCTATGTCGCGCCATTGCAAGTGCTGGAAGCATGTGCGCGAGTTGCCTCAGGTTGGCTTTTACGTTTGGGTCTGTAGCCTACTGTCTCAGAACGGAGTTCTGTCCGAGTTATGGTGTGGTGACATCCTTCGCCATATTTCGCAAAAACGTTCGTTAAGCCTGTTGCGAAGGATCCTTCGGTTTTGAAACTCGATGTTCCAGCAACGTCAGGACGCCAGTTTCGAACGGTCGTCCGGACGGCCGTTCGAGAATCTCCCTCCGCTCTGTGCGCAAAGAACACGCGAGGCCTGCGACAGAAAAGAACACCAAGTCAACGATTGAATGTGCTCGCGCAACTGAACCAATCGCGCAAGTGACAAAACAAAATGTGTGCCGCGAGATTCGTCATCCCTCGCGTGTGATTGGCTTGCAAGGGTTTGGGTTTCGTTTCTTCGCATATTACTTTTCGCACGTCGTTCAAACGATGGAACATCTGATTTCGAAACTCGATGTTCCACTGACGGACAGCAATCATAGTTGAGTTTCGAAACTCGATGTTCCAGCGACGAACGGAACTCGCGTACATAGAGTTCGGAACTGAGTTCCGGAACGAGGCCGACAAAACAGTAGGGTAAGGGCGTGTCCAGCGCGTACATTTAACCCCAACACAAATTTTGACGTTTTTTAAACACGCCGAAATATTGAAACGCCAAGTGTAGATACGTTGAGATGCACCTACAGTATCAACAGCAAAACGCCCAGACACGTGTCCCGCCCGTGTCTTGACAATTGAGCGGGTGCGCAGCGCGCACAAAACAGACTGACACGCGAAAGCAGCAGGGTAACCGAATCCCGCCCCGGGAAAGAGGCCTCGTCCGGTGCTTCGCATGCGTCACGAAAGCCTGGCGAATGTAAGCGTTCTATTTTTCGCCAGCAAGGATCTGGACGTTTCTGCCAAGTGTATAATTTGGGCACGATCTCTATTCGGTTCGGAAACGTGCGGCCCACGTCTGTGGGCACGTTTGAAGGGTGTCCGCCAAAACCGTCAATTTCTCGTGCGTGTCCGAATGGACACGAAAATTCGGGTAACCAGGTCAAAATTTCGTACCTGACATGCAAAGTGAATAGTATACGAACGCGCTGGACACGCCCTAAACAACCTTCGGGCGTCTCACAAGTGCAAAAAATATCGTTACTGGTTTTAGGTGGAGCTCGGTTGGGGACATTTGGGTCCTGGTCTTTGCGTTTAGTAATTTTGAATGCGATAATTTGGACGTATAAGGGCAAAGTTAGACCGCGTGTCAGCAAGTTGGTACATGTATGCCGAGCTGACCCGGGGTACAGGTCGACCTAACGGCCACTGCGCGACCCTTGACGCCAGGAGCACTGAAAGTGTCGCCAGGCTGCACTAGCGAGGTCGCGTGCGATACAAGCGACTGCAACTGTGAATGCTTACTGGCTCGGCCTGTTTCGCGGCAGTTGGACTGTGAATACATGCGACGCTGAAAATGACATGTAGACGCGATGTTTACCGGTTTCTGAGAGCGGAAAATGTTGCCGCGTGCTTCGAATTACCCTGACATTAGGGCAGTATGTGCTTCCAGGTGTCAGGTAGGGCTGTACCGACCGCCTGACACGCGGTCTACCTTTGCCCTAAGGGCCGGGACATCGATGGCAAAATCCGAACCATTTCGTATTTTAGGGAAGTACGAACCACTCCGGTGATGGTCCGCGCCACCTGCCGAACCAGGCAGTTTGAGAGATTCCAACTTTGAAATTCAAAGTCATCACTTCGTATTTGAGCGAAACCAGAGTCGATTCACCAATAATAAAAACAAGAGCCGACGAAATCGTCTTAGGGTTCAGAGGGACGTGAGGGTGTGGATGAAAGCAACAGGGTCCGACGCGTGCTCAATCACCTGAGAAACGAGCATAGAGAAAGGGAAGGGGAAAGATGATATGAGAATGGGAGTGCGGATGGGAGCGGCAGGGTCTGACACAAGCTTTATCACCAGCAGGGTTGAGTGAGGGTGTTAAGTACAGAGAAGACATAGGGGAAGAAACGAGTAGGGGGTAGGGGGAGGTGCGTGCGAGTAAGTGGTTCAAGAGAACGTGAGCGTGCGGACGAAAGCAGCAGGGTCTATTACTTGCTTTATCACCTGCAGTGTAGAGTGGCGAGGGAAGAAAGAAGGGATAGGAGAGGAGATGAAGGGGGTGCAGGGAAGTGGGTCAAGGGAACGTGAGAGTGCGGATGAAAGCTGCGGGGCCTAACACATGTCCTGAGAGTGGGTCACGCTTTACGTCATGAGAAAGGATAGAGAGGAAAGGAAGGGGAAAGATTTGAGAGGGGTGGGCCGACACATGCTCTACTACCCGTCGGCAGACGCGCAGGGAAGGGCCGGGAAGGGCAGGGGAAAGCGATGAGACGCCTTGAAATTCAACTCCATATGTACAATAGGAGTGCATGCTTGGCACAAAGACCTCACCTCCAATGAATGAACGGCATCGACTGTGAACAAGAAAATCATGATAACATAAAGGAGCATTGGCGTATGTTAGGGAGCTATAGGCGTAAGGACTTGCGTGCTAAGATGCACTTGTAGGATATGGAGCGGGTGACAGGATCCCTGGCTTGATGCATGCTTGCACGCATTGGATTGCATGGTAGTACACCTACTAATAGCAAGCTACAGCTGTGGAAGGTACCTGCTGAGATGCAGTTGTAGGAGATGGAGCGGGTGACAAGATCCCTCATGTGATGCATGAACAGACACACCGGAGAGAGAGAAGGGCGCAAAGTGGCAAGAAGGTGATGAATTTGCAAACTAACATGAACGCATGGGCACAAAGAAACGTCACGGAAGAACATAAATTTATGTCCAGTAGCACTGATGACGACTCAGCGGGTTTGATCCCCGTAAGCCGGAACATGTTTGCGACCTGGTAATTTTGAGTGAAGGGCTTTTCGAGCAAATCTCTTGCCTAGGATTTTTTACTCTTGTTCTTTCTGCTCAAGCGACTAACTTTGCACTGCTGCTCTTCCCAAGACCATGAGTGACGACAAACATGAATGCATGGGCACACACAACGAAACGTCACAGAAGAACAACACTCAAAGGGCCTCATAGGCAAGGCGATGTTGCTTTTGAGGCGCCTCAAATTTAGCTTAGAAAGCAAGGAAAAGCAACGCACATAAGACAAGGCAAAGGGGGGCATCCATCCAGCAAGGCTCGGCCGGAAAGGCACGTCACGCACAGCATGAGAAGCAGCCGCTTGTGTGTTGACACGTGTCGCGTCAACGCCTGTCACTGTAGCTCCCAGGCGAGCTAGAGGCTGTAGGAAAACGACGAAGGAAGGAGGGTGAAGGGTGTGAGAGGGAAAACAAAGCAGCAAGAAAATGAATAGAAAAGGCTAGCTTGAGAGGCTGGGCAGCTAAAACCATAGCCTATGTAAACGCTGGGCGGAATTCTTCACACCTATGTTCATTACCGCACACCAGTCATTGTTACCGCAGCAGGCCCAACAATAACCCTCACATGGGCTTCCCCGCTCACCTCACACAGCAGCCCCCCCCCCCCCCCCCCCCCTCGTACCCCACGTCAACCACTCTAAGCCCTTCCAGAGGCCGGGCGCAGTCTGCATTCAGACTGAGAGGCGGGGGGGAAATAGAAGGAGCAGGGGAGAGAAGAGTAGGGGAGAGGGGGCAGGGGGCGTGGAGGTGGGAGTAGGCGTGGGGGGGAAGGGGCCTGTAAATGGTTATGAAGGTAAGCAAGTGTTTCTGAATTCCTCCTCGTAACCGTTGACAGGCCTCTGTGCTTTTAGAAAACGAATTACGACCAAAATCGTGCTGATTTAGCTTTGTGTGGCGATATGAGGTCAAACTCACCTGAACATCTTCCCTGATTTAGGCTGCTTTCAGATTAAGCTTTGAGAAACTAGACGAACCAGAAACTGTGATGTGGAAGTATTGAAACAATCCGTATCCTCAGCCCGGGAATAATTGATTGGCGCACTGCAGCGTTCGCGACGGGTTACCAAGTCAGCGAAGCAGGGCGTCGAATAACATCGGTGACATAAAAGTGGTTTGGCTACAAATGTTGTACTGCTACAGTTTGCATCCTGTTGAACATCAAGTAAAGTGCCCAGTCATATGAATCACACCCTAAGAAAAAACATAATGTGCTGTGGGCACGATCCAGTTCTAAAACAAGAGGCAATTTTTCTCGCTATTCATAGGCTGGAAAAGATTGGATTTGGTGGCAACACACAATTAGTAGCAATCAGGCCTATAGATTGGTTTGAGCATACGCTGATCAGTCGTCCTTGCCCTCCTAGTTTAGGCTGATCGCCCAGCCTCCAACCTAGCATAAAGGCTGGAAATTCAGCCTTGCATGGTTTTTTTTTCCTAGTTGTTCAGACTTAGCACGGGAAAAAAGGTTGCAGCCAATACTCAAGAGTTGCACTTGGAAAGCAAGTTAAAACTCCTCAGCACAACTAGGGCCAGCATCATCATCCTCTACTGCATCTTCCATAACTAGGGGGGGCTCAAAAGCATCCTCTTCCATCGGGGCCCCTTTCTGCTCTGCACAGTGGCCCGGGAGGTGGAGAATGGTCGCCTCTTCTTGTAGGCCCGCCAGATCTTCACCACAGCATCCCAGTCAGGCACATAGTCATATAGTCCAGACACTGCGCGTTCCTGATGCTGCGCGGCCAGGTGTCAGCAGAGAACAGCCGGCAGCCAGACAGCTGCTCCAGGTCCCCAAAACTCGACTCCAGGTGGCGCACAGTCTCCTCCGCCATCTCCGTGCAGTCGTCCATGCAAGCGTTGTGAGTTCCCTTCCCGGGGTAGCCGTCCAGCTCGGCGTAGTGAAGACTTACGGTGAAGATTATTGGCCGGCCGTCTGAATCCACCCCATCAACGGTGACGTTGCTGGAACCTCCAGGACCGTGACGGGTGATGAACTGCATGAGCCGCTCCCTCGGGGATCCGCTAAAGTCGTCGCCGCAATCGACGTAGCGGCTCTCGATGATGCTCGTCGTCTGCACGATCTGCCCTTGGACCGTGGCGTAGTCCAGCTGCCAAGAGAGGGGGTGGGATAGAGTGTATAGAGAGAGAGAGAGAGAGAGAGAGAGAGAGAGAGAGAGAGAGAGAGAGAGAGAGAGAGAGAGAGAGAGAGAGGGAGAGAGAGAGAGAGAGAGAGAGAGAGAGAGAGAGAGAGAGAGAGAGAGAGAGAGAGAGAGAGAGCTTGTTTCGCAGTGAACACACAACCCTTGTTCGGACCAATTACCTCTCTTTGCTAGTAGATCTGGTTGAGGATGTTCAGCTGCTCAAGCAAGTCAGAGACGCTGCTCACAATCGCCAACAACTTGGCGTTGCCCATCTCTGTCACCATGACAACAATAGCCGGAAGAATAGCAAGCAGCCTCAAGACAGCCTCACCACGGGAGAGCCACCTAATGCCGTGTATCCCCTGCAGCTCCAGGTTCGTTGAGGAAAATTCGTCTTGCATGTCCTTGAAGCGCTGGTGCCAGGGACCAGACCGGCCAAGAAACTCCACGATGCCCTTGATGAAGTCATTCACCACGCCGAAGGCGTGGTTAGACGCTGCCGCTGCCTTTGCCGCCAAGACCTCCCTGTGTGTATCCACAAAACAGTGTCAGCAAGTAAAGAAACGGTGTAATCTTGGGTCAGAGTGTCATGCGCTCGTCACTTACCTGTGAGCGATGCAGTGACAGGAGACGAGGTGTGGTATGCGCACCCTCAGTCGAGCGACAGGCCCTCCTCGAGAGCCGAGCATGACAGCAGCCCCGTCGGTGCTAATGCCGGCAATCTTCCGCAAGTCTCCTCCAATACCATGGAGGTGGGACAAGAGTAAAGCGACAAGTGACGCAGCGTCAGCTCGCTCGACAGTCTGTTGGCGAGAGGCTCAGTAACCTGTCGCTTCTCGCGAATGAACGTGACAAACACGATCATGTGTTTGCCACGCCAGCGGTCAGTGCTCTCATCAAGGCTGATCCCGATGAAAGGGCTCGCTAGATGATGCTCCAGCTGTGTTGTTTGCAGCCAAGTAGCCAGCGCCTTTGTGAGCTGCCCGAACCCGTACCTGCAACTAGACTAGTAACCAAATGTGTTTTCAACCAGATCCAGTATAGAACAGTACATAGAAATCAATGAAAAGAAAGGCTGACGAGTTGTAGTAATTGCCGTATCCCTGCTCAGGGAAACCCTTGAACTTGCGTTCCGACAAGTAGCGAACGAGTCGGATCCAGGTCTCCATTGGCTCATTGCACCAGCTGCTGAAGTAGAGCACGTCGAGCAACACAGTGACATGGAGCCTCTCGAGGTCTTGGGTGACTGGATGCTGGTCAATCCGTGGCTGGGTGGTCGCATCTTGCAGCAGGTCGAGTTGTTTGCTGTACGCGAGCTGATGCCTGGTCGTACCAGCGTGCTTCTTGAAGGCCTCGACCTGGACGTCAGTCGCGCCACCGCCCTTCCTGCCGGTCTTCCCGTTCAACCCTGCGTGTTCATTATAGACAGAGCACTTAAACGCGGGCAACCCGCAATCGGTTTTCGTCAGCAGAAGCCATGGATACGTGCTGGACCACCGTCGCTGCAACTTGTCAAGAGCGTCAGCATACAGCTCTTCAGGAGTGAAACGCCTCTTCCCTGACTGCAACTCTTTGGAGTCATCTGGTGCGTCATCGTCCGAATCTGAGTCCGATGCCTCGGGGTCCGGTTCCTTCGGGGGAGGGGCAAACGACAGTCAAATCTGCCGGTAGCGGTTGCCCGACTTTGCAGGAACGACTGAAGGGCGAACGGGTGGGGGCACCGAGTCGAGAACAAAGGCCAGGCGCACAGGAGACGAGGATGCGACGGCAGGACGCATACACTGGACAACCGGGGGAGGCGTGGTTGCTGGAGCATGCCTACTCGACGATGGTTCCGCTGGTCCGGCAGGGACTCGAGCTGGGACGGGGATACTCGCCAACGACGGCAGCAACATATCTAGGCTGGTGCGAGCTTCTCTAGGCAAGTCGTCATCGTCGCCTACTCCGTTGTTAGCACCGCCAGACTCAGCCATGGTGGCGAGGGGAAAAGCGCGTGGAAAAGGCTGTAGAAACAGCCGCTGAGGACCTAACTAAGCTGGGAGGAGAAAGAACGAGGCATCGGCCTGGAAGCAGCACGATGCCTGCTGTGGAACAAAGGGTTGGAGCAGAGCGAACGTTCTTGAAGGGCATGCCCATGAAGTACACAGTGCACCAACCCTGCCAACGATGCATGGCAAAGGGGGGGGGTGTACTCCATCTCCATCATCTGTCGAGGCGCTCCAGCTGTGCAGCATCGCCAGTGCGCTGTGTATGAGATTGGGTGTGGCATGCTCATTTTGGTCACGTACCAATCACAATACGCCGTTCATGGTGTGTTAAAACAGCAGGGGAATATGAGAGTCTGCTGCCGGGCCGCAGGGCCAGCACATCCCAAAACAAGCGTGATTGACGGGGGAAATGCAATCAGACACCAGGATTTTGGGGGGACCCTAGAATCACGTCGTACGCGGTTTCAGACTTACCCAGAAAACACACGCTGATGTTACAGAGTGAATCATACTCAAAACACTGAAATTACAGATATCGGCTTAAAAAAAGAGATGATTTTCCAGCATTGACCAACAAAAAAAACCCAGCCAAAAAGCCTTGCTACCACGGAAATCCCTCGAAAAAGGCTGAATCAGCGTAATAAGTCTGATATCTAGGGGCCTGGTAGCAACGTTATGCAGTCACGGGCGGCGTGACATTCTCTTAGAAATTGACAAACCAACCACGTTGGTGCTCAGAGGATTTGCTGCAGCTCTGCGTCTTGTCGGGCGAGCTCCAAGAGCATAGGATCGTCGAAGAACTTGTTGATGCTCACATCCTCGCTCATGCCCTGAAGAAGAAGAAACACAACAGGTTGGGAGGAAAAAACAACAGGGGAGGGGGGTGAAGGCAAAAACTCGCTCCAGCAGCATGGAATCGTCCAAGAACTTGTTGATGCTCACAACCTCGCTCATGCCCTGATGAAAGAGGCACTAGGCAACAGGATGGGGGAGGTGTAATTTGAGTCAAGGTATATTTTGAGTCGATTCAAAATACACCTGAAAGAGGCACTAGGCAACAGGCAACAGGATGGGGGAGGGGAAACAAAGAGCCAAGGGAGGGATGCTGGAGTAGGTTGGGATACGAACAAAACAGGTCCAACAAAAAGAGATCGAAGAAAGAACACTAGCAAACACTAGCTCCAACAGCATGGCATCATCAAGGACTTATCGATGCTCACATCCCCGCTCATACCCTCATGAGATCAAGAAAGTCAACAGGCCGGAAGAAAAAGAAAGGCTTCGACTTGCGTGGGATAAACAAAACAATACCAGGAACATGCTACAGCAGGTGCAGGACAGCACTCTTGTACAAAACAGGTAAGTTGTAACCAGGTGACTGTGCCTGGCTGGCTCAGATGGCTGAAGGTGCACCTGAGGCCAGAACAGCTTAGATTCCTGTCACCTGGGGTCCCGAGGTCCTGAGGTCCTGGGGTCCTGGGGTTCTGAGGTTCTGAGGACCTCAGGACCCCAGGTGATTAAAAGCTAAGCTGTGGCGGCCTCAGGTGCACCTTCAGCCATCCTAGCCAGTTAGGCGCAGCCACCTGACGACCTCAGGATAAACATGATCAAAACGCGATTGCGATTTAAATCGCATCGCATGCAGGTGCGATGTTTAAAAAAGCGATGCGGTTTTAAATCGCATCGCGCGATTTATTTTTCAAAAAAAAATAAAAATCGCACATCGCATTTTACCTGCGATGTATTAATAAATCGCATGCGATATTTAATTAAATCGCAAAATGCGATTTTAAATCGCATCGCGTTTTAAAACAGAATTAAAAAACACCCCCAAAAAACAGGAAAAAACCATGGCTGTGGGGAAATTGACTCACGGGCAGTCGTAAGCTAGAGTGCAAATAACCAGTGTGGTTTCGTAGTGGGTTTCAGAGTGGGTTTCAGTGCAATATCGCGCGCGATTTTTTAAAAATCGCATATCGCATTTAAATCGCGTTTTTTAAGCGCGATTAAAATGCGATTGAAATTAAATCGCGCGATATTAATTCATCGCATCGCGCGATGATTAAAAAAAAAAAAAAAACATCGCCATCGCAAAAACGCGATTAATTGCGATGCGATGCGATGCGATGCGATTTTTTTTGCCCATGTCTACCTCAGGACCTCAGGGCATCAGGGAAAAGCCGGCTCGAACCCTTCGGATTTCAGGCGGGGCCCCGCCTTCGACCATCCGAAAAACAGCCCGCAATCACCCGAAGTCCTGGGTCCAACGCCCTGGGCCCTGAACCAGCCTTCAGGAGGATTCTCTTTCAGAGCCACTCGGGGCTCACCCCCTGCCCAGCCCTTGCCCTCATCTGCCCTCCCGGCCCCACACCACCAGCGTGTGAGTCGTCCAGGAGGGTCCGAGGCGTCACCAGACAAGCACACGGGCACAATCGCCTGTGCCACACTTGCCTGACCCACACCCGTGATCACCTTTCAGGCCCAGTGGTAAAAAACAGCGACAAATTCCCAGAAGGCCGGCCCCACATTCTCACAACCCTCCCACATTCACCCACTCTCTTCCTCACCTTGTGTCGCGTCGTTCTGACCATGTTCTCTTCCTCAATTCCCTTGCAAGGTGCTGCGCAGGAGCACGCTCCAGAGGGTGCACCACCATGCTCCTGTCTAGAGGTCAGCCAGCACCACTCTTAACATCCATATACCCTACCCCCCCCCGCCCCCCCTCCCGTTCCCTCCCCCCCCCTATTGCCACCGCTTCAGCTCACCTTGCGTCTCCTAGTCTTGACCATGAACTCGCGTGCCAAATGCTGGGCAGGAGCCGACTGCAGAGGATTCATTACCTTACCACGCTCTTGTCTAGAGGTCCCCCAGGCACTACACTTTAACATCAATCCCCCCCCCCCTCACTCCCACCCCTTCAGCTCACCTTGCGTCTTCTGGTCTTGACCATGAACTCGCGGGCCAGATGCTGTGCAGGGGCGGGCTCTAGAGGGTGCAGCACCACGCTCTTGTCTAGAGGGTCACCCGGGCACCGGGCACTACACTTTAACATCCATTCTTCCCCACCCCTTCAGCTCACCTTGCGTCTTCTGGTCTTGACCATGAACTCGCGGGCCAAATGCTGGGCAGGGGCCGGCTCCAGAGGGTGCAGCACCACACTCTTGTCGAGAGGGTCACCGGGCACGACGGCCCAGTGGTCGAAGACAGACACACAGAAGGCCTGCCCCTGCGTGTGATAGCGCAGATCAGTCTCGAAGCCAAAGGACTCAACCACTGGGAGGATCGCCTGAGAGAGGATGGTGGGGGGGGGAGAGGGGAGGAGGGGAGGGAGCCACAAGGAGCAAGGAGGAAGGATGGAGAGGGGGTGAGTGAAGGAGCACAAGGGACGACGGCCCAGTGGACGAAGACAAAGACACAGAAGGCCTGCCCCTGTGCGTGATAGTGGAGGTCAGTCTCAAACCCAAAGGACTCCACCTCTGGGAGGATGGCCTGGTCAGTCAAAGAGTGGGGGGCGCAAAAACACAAGGTGCAAGGATAAAGGATGGAGAGGGGGTGAATGGAAGAGCACAGAGCACCAAGACCAAAAGACTCCACCACTGGGAGGATTGCCTGAGAGAGGACGGTGTTGAGGAGGGGGGAGGGGTGGGGGAAAAGCGCGCAAGAAGCAAGGATGGAGGAGTTGGATGAACGGGCACAAAGGAAACTACACTAGAATATGACGGAGTACATGTATATACGAGTACAATACCTTGACAATGTAAGCAGGGGTCCCAGCCTTGGCAGCGCCGCCCGTCACGTGGCCTTGAAGGCCGACTCAACTCAAGGGGCACTAGCATGTGCACATTCGTGCACTAAGAGCACAACTCAGAAATATACCTTGACAATGTAGGCAGGCGTGCCGGCCTTAGCAGCATCGCCTGTCACATGGCCTCGACGGCGAGATAAGACAGTGTAGATGGCTGACATGCAGTCCGCAGGGGTCTGGATCTGAAAGGCGGAAGTAAAGATGGAAAAAAGGAAGACCATTGAGAACTAGGGGAGGGAGGAGCGAGAGGGGGGAGGGGGGGGGGTGGTTAAGACAAGACGGTCTAGATAGCAGACATGGTTGACAGGGGTCTGCATCTGATAGGCCGAAGTAGATGGAAGAAAGGAGAGGGGAAACCATTGAGAAGGAACCGAGGAATTTTGAAGTGCTTGAAGGTAGACGGCAGGCATTCTGACTTGCTTAGACAAGGAGACTGTGACAGCACTCAACTCAACGAAGTACACGGGCTCCATGAGGCGAGGAGATGCCATGAGGAAAGCAGAGTGGGGACGACCTACCTGCCCCTCCCCTGCAAAAAGTTCTGGTTTCCTCACGCGCCTAACAAGGAGGGTGTACCTGCTCTCACCTCAACGAAGTACACGGGCTCCATGAGGCGAGGCGAGGCCATGAGGAAAGCCGAATATGCCACACGGCGGGACGTCGGGATGACCTGGCCACCCCCCCGCTGCAGGGGGTCGGGCGCCACCAGTGCGTCTAGGAGTCTGAAACGGACGTTTCTCATTGGCTCATCGCACAGAGGACCTTCCCTTGCTCCCCACTGGAACCTGTAGAAAGTTGAAGGGACAAGAGAGGGGGAAAGAGCACAGCGTCCGGCGCCACCAGAGCGTCAGGCGCCACCAGAGCGTTGGGCGCCACCAGAGCGTTGGGCGCCACCAGAGCATCCAGGAGTCCGAACGGAACATTCCTCATGGGGTCAGCGCACAGAGGGCCCTCCCTTTCTCCCCACTGGAAGCTGTGGGGAGGAGGGAGGGACATGAGGGCAGCAAAGTGCGAAGGATCTGGTGCCACCAGAGCAACCAGCAGTCTGAAGCGCACGTTGCACGTGGGCTCATCACACAAAGGACCTTCCCTTGCTCCCCACTGGAAGCTGTAGTGAGGAGGAAGGGAGAGGGGTGAACAAAGCAGAGCGTCAGGCGCCACCAGGAAGTCGAGCAGCCTGAACCACACAGGCTTGTCACACACGTGGCCCCCTCTGGCAGCACACTGGAAGCTGTGAGGAGGAGGGAGGGACAAGAGGGTAGGGAGATGTATACCTTGTAAGCCTGTTGCATGCCCAGAAGAAACACATACAGGCAGGTGCAGAGCAACGCAGCTACTGCTGATTGCTAAGGGGGCGCACACGAGATTCCTGCACCAGCAGGAAGGGAAAAAGGCCGCCGTGCTGAGTCACCCACTTTGAGGCGCCTCGAAAACGGTTTCTGGAAGAGCAGAGGAAGGGACAAAGGTGGTGGTGGTGGCGACTCACCCTTGGATCACCGATTCTTTGATTGCAGACAGCAGGTTCTTGTCCACCTCGCTGGGGAGAGTGTCGTCCACCAGGATGTTGGGCCCCTGCGGGGGTGTGTGTAGGTGTGCACACATGTGAGAGAAAGGAAGCCACAGAGACGAGAGAGGGAGATGGCTTAAGGCTGGCTGACTTGTAGCAGCAGGTTCTGGTCGACCTCGATGGGGAGAGTGTGGTCTACCAGGATGTTGGGCCCCTGTGAGAGCTCGTCAGGAGGGAAGAGGGGGAAGAGAGCGGGAGAGAGGGGGTGGAAGGGGGGAGAGGGGGGGGGAGAGGGGGAGGGGGACATGTGTGAGACAACATAAATTATGAGATGCAATCCGCAAGAGGTGAGAACATTACTTCTCATTCGGTATCGAAGAACTCTGTCATGTGCAACTGTCATGTGCAACTCTGTTATGCGCAACTCTGTCACGTGCAACTCTGTTATGCGCAACTCTGTCACGTGCAACTCTGTCATGTGCAACTCTGTCATGTGCAACTCTGTCATGTGCAACTCTGTCATGTGCAACTCTGTCATGTGCAACTCTGTCACGTGCAACTCTGTCATGTGCTTACCTGTAGGTCAGGACTAAAGGCCCAGATGGGCTGCGCCCCCAGCAGTCTGTGCCCCCAGCAGTCTGTGCCCCCAGCAGTTTGTGCCCCCAGCAGTTTGTGCCCCCAGCAGTTTGTGCCCCCAGCAGTTTGTGCCCCCAGCAGTTTGTGCCCCCAGCAGTTCCCAGTCGTAACTCGAATGGAAGACTCCGCCTTGCACTTCGTGCATGGGCCAGTCCAGGAGAGCGCATTGGGATGCGTGGACACCCCTATGCTCACATGCACACCCACACGACCGACTCACCTGTCTGTCAGGGCCAAAGGCCCAGATGGAACGTGCTGCCAGCAAGTCCCAGTCGTATTTCGTCTGGAAGAATTCCGCCATGCGCTTCTTGGGCCAGTCCAGGGACACTGCACCGCTTTCTAGATCCTCTGCCAGGCCCTTCTCCATGGGCTCTGCAATCTGAAAGGAAGAGAAAGACACAGGGGGCAGGAGAAAGGCGCCAGGGAATGAGGGGAGGCGCCCCGCCATGCGCTTCGTGGGCCGGTCCAGATACACAGCTCAGCTCTCCAGGTTTTCTGCCAGCCCCTTTTCCATTGGCTCTGCCGTCTGTGTGGGGGAGAGCGGGGGAGAGTGTGGGGGGGGTCGGCGGGAGATAGAGGAGAATTCAGTTCGGCTGACCAGCCGAGGGACACTACGCCACTCTCCAGGTCCTCAGCTAGGCGGGATTCTATGGGCTCTGCAGCAGGGGGAACAGCAGGATCGCAGACAAGAAGAAAATCCACAACAACCTTGATGAGTCACTCCACTCTCACCGCTCCACTCTCAAGAAGTCTAGTTTTGAGGCGCCTCAAAACTAGACTCCTATCGCGCGCAACCTTGACGAGCCACTCCAAGAACACTGCTCCACTCTCAAGAGGAGGGGAGGGGGTGGGAGGGAGGGTGTGGGGAGGGAGGGGGGGAGAGGGGTAACCGGGCTGAGCAGGTGGGGGGGAAAGGGGAAGAACAGGGGAGAGAGAGACAACCGGAACCAGTTTGCCCTCTGAGTCAGACATGTAGTACATGTTGATGCGCTGTGACGGCATACGCTAGTGCTATGCTAAGCATGCATACGATGGTGATCTAGCACTTCTTGTTGGGCGTCTCAGCGGAGGATCTATGCCCGCGTAAGTACGATACATGTGTTGCCAGGTCACACAGGCATCACATGTGTAAGCCTGTGAGCAAGCATACCGTGTTCCTTCTTGTTGAGTACCTGTGAGCATGCTGCATGCCTACCATCGTGATCGTTTTCTTCTTGTTGGGCGTCTCAGCAAAGGACGTGCGTGTGTGTAGGCATGATGCATGTGTTGCCACGCATGCATCACATGTGTCAACATAAGCATGTAAGCATGCATCACATGTGTCAACATAAGCATGTAAGCATGCATGCCTACCATGGTGATCTTGTTCTTCTTGTTGGGCGTCTCAGCAAAGCACTTGAGGGAGGACGTTTCCACCACAGTTTCGCAAAACGACACCACAGGATCAGCCACCTGCACAGCGTTGCACAGGACGTGGTAAGGGCGGGGGCAGGGGGACGGGGGCAGGAGGACGGGGGCAGGGGGACGGGGGCAGGGGGACGGGGGCAGGGGGACGGGGGCAAGGGAGGGGCGGGGAGAGAGGAATGGCAGTCGAATAAGGGGCATGGCAGGGCAGTGTGGAGGTAGAGCAGCAGAGCAGAGAGAATCAGGGAGATGGGAGGCGAGGCGACTAGGGCAGGGAGTTGCTGAGGCCCAGCGACGTGTGCTGACTCCTAAAGTGCTACGTGTGCTGACTCCTAAAGTGCTACGTGTGCTGACTCCTAAAGTGCTACGTGTGCTGTCTTCGTCAGCCAATGTCCCTCCCTCGCCGGTGCCCAGCACCGTGTGCTCCCCAGACTCTTCCACCCTCGTGACGGCCAGCGGGTAGCTCTTGCTGATCTTCCGCAGCCCCTCCACCATCTTGGGCAGCGCCGAGGGGTTCAGGGGCTCAAAACTCCAACCCAGTACCCCCCTGAACCTGAGCCCCTAAACCCTGGAACCCCACATTGCTCACCTTCACTTCGACTTCAGAGAATAAATCCCTGAGGTCCTTCATAACGGAATCCAAGAACAGCTCGCCTGTGCCCAGCACCGTGTGCTCGCCCGACTCCTCCACCCGGGTGACAGCCAGTGGGTAGCTCTTGCTGATCTTCCGCAGCCCCTCCACCATCTTGGGCAGCTCCGAGGGGTTCAGGGGCTCCGTGGCCACTTTGACCACCGACACCGTGTTGAATTTCAATGGAGAGAAGATAAACACATCCTCATCATCCTCCTCCTCCTCCTCCTCCTCCTCCCCTCCTCCCCCCCACCGCCCCGCTCCTCCCTTTTTCCCCCCAGCCTCCTCCTCCTCGTCCTCCTCCGCGCCCCCGTACCCCCCTTGCTGCCCGAATTCCTCACAAAGAGTAGCCGTCTTCGTTATAGACGCGTCCACTCCCTCTATAAGCACCCAAGAGCCGGCCGGAGCGGACGAAATCGGAACCCTGTACCTGCCCTGGTACAGCCACAACTTAGTAACCACCTTCACAGACATATCCTCCTCATCGTCCGGCGAATAAGCCTCGCCCAAAACCCTAACCGTCTGCCCGGTCCTCAGCGTTCCACACATCACCCTCCCGAGGGCGTCAAAAGCCGAGCAGTCCGGCTTCGGGTACAGCTTCGTCACGTGCACCATCAACGGCCCTCGTCGCTTCGCGCTGCAGGACAGCATCGCAGCCGCTCGTTTCCCCACCAGAGGGCCAGTGTACGTCGTCTGCACCTTCACAGGAGCAGCAGCTTTCGCCGAGGGCAAATGCCGGATAATCATATCAGCCAAACCCCCCACCCCACCCCCTAGAACAGCCCCTATAGCAGCCTTCAGCAGCGGTTTAACGTTCATTTTGTAGGTAGACGGACGGAGGGACACCCCCAGCTCGCCTAGAGTGGCTTCCACGCTTTTCTTATGCTCCCCCACCACCTGAGAGTACAGCTTGTACAGTGGCTCCAGGACAAACGTCACAAACGTCCGCTCGCCGCCACCTGCGGGCGGCTTCCTTCGGAAGGATCTGGTGTCGGGGTGGTAGTACAGGTCACCCCACAGCCGCTTCGCCAGCTGGTCAGGATCGAAATTAACCCCGTGGGTTTGGGTGTAAAGCCGGGCGAAGGAAAGGAGGGTGAACGACCAGCCTGCAGCTGCCGAAGCAAAGCAGACGTTCCCTAGGACCGGGTCGAGCTGGGGAGCCTCGGAAGGCATGGCAGCTGCGGCGACTGCCGAGCCTGAGCCGGAGGTTCGGGCGGCTATGGCGGGGGGAGCGTAGGAGGCGATGAGGGCGTTGACTTCCTCTAGGGTGTGGCGCAGCTTGTGGTAGGCGTCTGGGGGAGGCAGCTTCAGCTCTGTTATCAAACGATCCACCTAAAAGACGGGGACGGGGGGGCGGATGGGGGAAAGAGAAGGCAGTGGAAAGAAAAATGTGTGCTTGTTGAGAAGAGACGGAGGAGGGAGATGGGGGAGGGAGAGTTAGACAAGGGCTGAGAGTCGGGGACATGCTTCAGCTCGGAATCAGGTGGTAGAAACATTATGGCAGGTGGAGAGACTCAGAGACCAGGGAAGGGGGGGGGGGAGAGGGGGAGCACAATGGGTGGAGCGAAGAAAGAAAGCGCAGAGAGCGGGGAAAGACGGGGAGAGGGCAGCGACGAGAGGCACCCACCTTGTTGATGCAGAGCGTGATGGCCAGACCCTGCTGCAACGCATGCTTCAGTGCTCGCTCCGTGTTCACCTGGGAGACCGGACGGCGGAAGAGAGGGGAAAGGGGGGAGGATGCGAGGGAAAGTGAAAAGAGCATGTGCACCTGCAGAAAATTCGGCTGACAGTGACCTTTGAATCAAACCATGCTGGTCACCTCAAATAAATCAGGCAACGGAAGTCCTGTCGTAGGAAGAAAAGTACAGAAAAAAAGCAGGCCTTACCATGGCCCCTTCCACGGCGTCCACGACCAGAAACCTCCCATCCGCTAGCTACACTCTTCACCTTCCATTACCCTCCCCACCCTCCACCCCCAATACCGAACCTAGACCTCGGATCTGAGCCTGCCTCTCACCATGACCCCTTCCACGGCGTCCACGACCAGCACCACCCCATCCGCCAGCCACACCCTTACCCTTCCCCCTTGCCCCCAATACCGAACCTCAATCCTCAAATTACCGAACCTCTGAACCCCGAACCAGAGCACAACCGAACCAACTCTCACCATGACCCCTTCCACGGCGTCCACGACCAGCACCACCCCATCCGCCAGGCGCATCCCGGCCGTCATCTCATCCGAAAAGTTCACATGCCCGGGCGTGTCCACCACATTGCACAGAAACGACTTCCCCGCGGAATCCTCCAGAACCAGCGACATGGGAACGGCTTTAATGCTGATCATCCGCTGCTGCTCGTCCACGCGCGTGTCTGTGAACCTCATATGCCGCTGGCTCTCGGGATTTAATGTGATGACGTCAGGATGGGTGGCTTCGACCAGCATGTCCATCAGGAGGGTTTTTCCCGCGTGGAGGTGGCCGGCTAGAGCGACGTTTCGGACCAGTGTCGGATTTTTCATCAATCCGACGGTGAACTCGGTCGACACGTACGTCGCCAGCACGCCTTTCGACGCCACCTCGAATTTGAACTGCCGGACCGGCTTGACGATCGGCTCCTCTAACGGCTGAGCGTCCTCGTCCTCGACTAGGGTTTCGACGTCCTCTCCGTATACCTCCACCGCCGTTGGATAATACTTCTTATCTTCAGCAAGCACCACCGCTCCCTCGTTATCCGGCTCCTCGTCATCTTCGTCCATTCCGATCATCTCCCCTCCTGCTCCGCCTTCGCCGTCTGCTAATTCCTGGCCCTGATCCTCCTCTTCCTCTTCCTCTTCCTCATCGGACGCGATCTCCGGTCCGATGTAGTTTCCGAACTCGTCGTACAGATTTTCGTCCATGGTTGGAAAATGGACGGTCGCACGACTCGGCGGAAAGCAACGAGGAAAAGGCTGCGCAGACGATCACAACGCGATCGTTTGCGAGATTGGACGATGAGAGCGAGCGGAAGAGAAACGAGGGGATGAGATGCCGCCTGCAGCTGTACGCTGACGGGGCGTATAATTCTGATCGGCCACGCCCTAACGTGATCGGACAAAGCTGGGCTCTTCCTCAAAGGCGAGAGACTAGTGGTGGGATGGGTGTAGTCCTGCAGGCTGGCCAGAGCAAACCAACACTGGTGGGTGCTTGGGGAAATCTGTACGTGAGAAAATAGGTCTCGTAATTTGTAAACATTACCTGCCGACAGTACCTGTGAAACTAAGCTAAGTCCTCTTACCGAAGCTGCCTCTTCGGGAGTAAGCGAAAGCACAACCTGACATTGCCGCGAAACTGGTCGTTACGAAACTGTGTAAAATTTCGCGAAATGGAGACCTTTCGCACGACCTGGCCTTCGCATGGGTTCGTCTTGCACTCCACCCTTCAATGCCCAAGGAAGGCCAAACCCGTACATTTACAGGTCGTTTACCACGGTTCAGTAGTTTATCACGCGATGTAGAACGGTTTTTTGCGCTGCACCACTGGAACATTCTGCACCCGACTACTGAACCATTCGAAGTGAGTTGGAACAGCGAGTGGGGCACGCCCTCGTTCATTTATCTCCTAGTTAGTTCTCACTGTCACTAGTTGTCCGTAAACCGTCCTCTTCTGTCCCGCTGCCTCTCAAGATTCCTCCTAAACACGTACAGTACCCAAAGGTCTTGTAGCTTGACTTTTTCTGTGTAGTGAGTCTGCCATGCTCTGCACTGCTCTTACCTCCTCACTTGCGTTCTCGCGAAACGCTTCGCATTTTCCCCTCCACTCTCGTCCTGAGTCGCTCACAACCCACAGCTTCAGTCTCATCGAAACCAAATCTGAGGCGCCTGAACGCCAGTCGCGACCAGCCTCAACCGAAATCGGCGTCGTTAGACTTCACGCTACAGCCAATCTCCGGTATTGTTCTGTCCGTCAGTCACGCTGCGCCGATGGAACCAAAAGCAGAATCTCCAGCTGTGTCAGTCGCAGGAATACGAGCAGCAGAATCTCAAGCAGCAGTTTCAGCAACACAATTTCAGACCTTTTTGGTGCCAACGTGCGTAGAGAACTTGGCTGCAGGGGTGTGGGAGGGGGCTCTGGGGTCAGGCTTACAGATCTGGAAATCAGGCGGAAGAGAAGGAGAAGCGGTCTCAGTGTACGGATAATAAGACCCGTCGAACCCGATAATATGACGTTGACGGACAAATTGACGGGCTCCGCCGTGAATGCTGCCGGGTTAACATCCGCCGGTCGTTCAACAGCTCCTAGTACGTCGACTCAGAGCACGAAAGAATCGTCTCCTGGCGGTTTGAGACCGCGGAGACGACGATTATCAGCAGACGGACGCGCCAGGGGCGTCGTTGGGAGCAGTCGGGATGGTGACAGTGGAGCCTTTGAAGCGAACTGTGGTGGCAGTAGCAGCAGCGACAGTGACATACACCCTACCACCACAATCATCAGCAGCAGCAGCAGCCGAATCACCTCCAACGAAGAGCCCAGCTCGTCTGGACACCAGCAGGCGGGGGAACAGGAGACACGAGCACACCAGAGTCCGAGGCGGTTGCGGTCAGCCAGTCGTCTCAAGCCACCTGTCCCCGCGGGCCACCAGCTGCTGGGCCGGTGGCAGGTCGCATCGAACCCCAACAGCAGGGGCGGCCAAAACGACATGTTTTGGGGCGCGAGTGGCACTGGTATCGGTGCACCGAGGGTCAATGACAGTGCGCCTGGCAGCAGAAGTGTTCATAGCAGCAATCAGGTCCTTGGCTCTAGCACAAGCAGCAGCACCAGCAGCAGCACCAGCAGCAGTGATACCCGCGGCAGCACTAATGTCAGCAGCAGAAGCCTGTTCTTATATCTGCCATGGCCGGGGGGGCAGGTGATTATAGAGGGGGATGAGGAGGCGGAAGCGGCTGCAGATGCAGTAGTGGAGGCTGAGATGGTGGAGAGGAGGAGGAGGAGGCAGCAGACGAAGCGAGTGTATGGGCCGAGGTCGGATGAGGAGAGGCGGAGGATTAGTGAGGGGTTGAGAGAGGTGCAGAGGACGACAGGGCGGTTGTCAAGGATTGCTAGAGAGAGATTTGCGGACCCAGAGAGGAAAGCAAGACTGCGAGCTGCCATGCTGGTGAGTCTAAGTGCGAGCTGCCATGCTGGTGAGTCTAAGTGCGAGCTGCCATGCTGGTGAGTCTAAGTGCGAGCTGCAATGCTGGTGAGTCCTTTTCAATCTATGCGGGATAATTTTCCCTTCCTTGCTCGTTAGCAGATCCTTCTTTTGGATGCATGTTTCTCGTTTGCTTCCAACATCAGCCGTGCATGAATCTGTGCAGCATGTTTCTTTTTTTAATATATTCAAAGGTGTTCGATTGTGTCATCCCATCAGCTGCAGTGCAGCTATCCATTTCCGTCGCCTATAATCCATCCCTGTTCCTTTCCAGAAGGGCTACTATGAGAGAGACGCCCCATCCAAGATATCAGCACAGGTCAGGCAACACCATGCTGACCCATCAAATAGGCAAACTATGAGCCAAGCATTGACTATTGCAAACCCCCTTGTTCCCGTTTTCGTTCCTGTTCCTTTCCAGAAAGGATACTACGAGAAGGATGCCCCTTCCAAGATATCAGCTCAGGTCAAGGAGCACTATGCCAACCCTGTAAATAGAGAAATCATCAGCCAAGCGTTAACAGGTGCTGCCAGTGCCAACTACCTTGTTCTTGCAAGCCTCTGTTTTCGTCAGACCTCCCGTTTCCTTGGTTTCTTTCTCAATACGCTCGTCTCGTCATTTGTTCCCCTGTCTTCTACCCCTTCCAATCCAGGGATGGCGTTTCATTGTCGGGCTTGCGGGCAGGCGGGGCATCGAAAAAACTTCTGCCCGTCTTTGGGTTTTGTAAAGCAGGTCCGCACAAAGAAGGGTTTGAGAAGGCTTGTGCAGTGCTCAAAGTGCGGGGAGCTTGGTCACAATCGTCGGTCTTGCAAGACTGTGACTGAAGATTCTCCTGAGAAGAGCCAAGATGTTGACTCAATGGCGGGGTTCGGGAAGGATGACAAAGCAGGGAATGTGCTGCACAGGCAAATTCGGTGCTCGGAGTGTGGCAAGGTTGGCCACAACCGAAAATCTTGCAAAATTCTGAGTGCCTGGTTAGAAAGAAATGCAACGGATTGAACCACTCCTTGGCCAGTAATGGCAAATCCGGCGCACTTGTTTGTACCCCTCTAGAACCTTCTGATTGCACCATGTTCTGAGTACGTGTATTTTAAGGCATGCGGTTGACGGGGAGTGTAACTTTTCGCGTACGTTTTAACGAATTTGTTCCAGCGAGGATCAAGCCTGACCAATAATTAACTTCACATAGTAAGGAGCTGCGCCAAGGTAGGCGAGGAGCTGCGCAGCTAGCGCTGTCCTGTAGGTCATTCTTAGGCGCCTCAACTCAAGAGCAGGCAAGAAGCGCCTTGTTTGCTTCGAACCAGCACTAGAGTGGTGGCTTCAAAGTGGCCCTTCATAAAGTTTCTCTGCCGCGAGCGTGTAGGAACAGTAGTATCCTATACGGGCTCTCCCTTCCCCCTCCGCCACTCTTCTCGTCGACCTTCTGCGCCGTCGCTCCGTGGCCGAGCCAGCAGTTGACCTGTGCAGTTGTTTCCGGAGGGTCCCCAGGGATGAGCTATGAGTCAGCGAGCTTTGCAGTACGGATTCCATCTACCATTTCCTCCGGGATTTTTCCGGAATAAGCTTCGGCGACGTATCCGTTTTATTTTCCTGAGAGCATTCGGATCTTGTCGCTTCAACCGCCTTCGCGCTACTTCATTCTTGGGAACTCCGAGTTCAGAAGCAACAGCCCTTATCCCACTCTTGCACACAACATTGGAGGACCGCCACCTTCTGAGTCGACTCTTGAGTCGACTCAGAAGTCACTGGAGGACCGCCACCTTCCGCAATGCCATTTCTCCCTGCTCCTCTCGCGAAAGTTTCCACCTTTCGACCAAGGGTTTCTCAGATACGAACGCATTTGGGGGGGCGGAAAAATAGACAAGTTGTCCCCCCACGGCCCTTCAGTTTGCGTCGCACTCCTGCCCCTTTTCTCGGCACACCATCTTTTCCTCCCGCTCCCCCCATCCTTCTTCCCCTCCCATTTTCTCAATCTGCCTGTGCAGATTCCTTCCCCGCGCTCACCGATTTCTCCGCGCGTCCATTCCATCACTCGCTTCTCTGAAGCCCCCTGAGCGACCGGCGTTGCTGTCATTGTTGAGACCATCAGACCCAGCAGCAGCACCTGGACCAGCAGCATTGTTCCCGAGGGTCAAACCGGATCTATCTTCTCGCCCTGACTCAGCTCCCTCGCTCTCAGATACACGTTATACAACCTTCACTCCACGCGAATCACCTACAACGCGTGTAAAACACGTCGACTTTCTTCCCGCCTGTAAACCCACCCGCACTATTGCCTCGCTCCCTTTTCCGCCTCTTACCTCCCCGTCATTCCACACCTCTCCATCATTACCGTCATCCCCCTCCTACCACCCTCTCTCTTCTATCCGTTCCAAGGCGCACATGAGAGCCGTAGTATTCGACGAGCCTGGGGGGGCAGAAGTCCTCCAGGTTCGGGAGGTTCCCATGCCTGAGGTTCGGGAAGGGGAGGTGCGAATTCGCGTGGCTGCTACTGCTCTGAACAGAGCGGATATCATGCAACGTATGGGGTCCTATCCTCCACCTAAAGGTCGGTGCTTTGATCTATCCTACATCATTACATTAGCAGACGTGTTCACAGGCGTACACGCACAAACACAATGCACACGTTCTACTCTATCTTTGGAATCTGAAGTGGAGCTCAATTTTTCCTTTCTCTGTTAATTTCCCCTTCTCAGGCGCATCACCCATTCTTGGACTGGAGTGTTCTGGAACAATAGAGTCTGTCGGCTCTCATGTAACACGCTGGAAGGTTGGGGATCAGGTAAGAACATAACGACTTACAAATCAGAGGCTGTATTTTCTTTCACCATGTCGCACTTAAGCTCGCCTTCACCGTTGGATTCCACTACCTTCCCCAGGTCTGTGCATTGCTGGCAGGGGGTGGATATGCGGAATATGTCTCAGTGCCCGAATCCCAGGTTCTTCCAGTGCCAGATGGCGTGCCGCTAGTGGATGCTGCAGCGCTGCCTGAGGCTGCATGCACGGTGTGGTCTACTGTCTTTATGATGGCAAAGCTGCAGCCTGGAGAGTCGTTTCTGGTGCATGGAGGGTCCAGTGGTATTGGTACCTTTGCCATCCAGTTGGTGAAGCTGCTTGGGAGTCGTGTCTTCTGTACTGCTGGTGAGACAATCAAGCAAGTGTATTAGTTCCAACGTTGCTTTCTTCCACTGAGTAAGCAGAACGAGTGCGCAAAATATTTACATATTTTGGTGTCACATATGCTCCCCTGGGCACGCAAGAGCAGTAACTGAGGGAAGGTTAGAGAAATCCTAGTATGACTAGTAGTTGTGGGTAGAATTTAGGGACGTTTGGAAGGCTGAGCGGGCTTAAGTGTTCTGTTTCCTCTCCTCTCACCAGGCTCGACTGAGAAGCTGGAACGGTGCCGTCAACTGGGCGCGGATGTTACAATCAACTATCGCAAAGAGGACTTTCTGGCACGTGTAAAGGAAGAGACTGGTGGGAAAGGTAATCCCTCCCAAGTACATGTGGAATGCTTCTCTGCTGCTGCTTTAGCCATGTTGTCCGACACTTGCATCGAGCCTACGGCCACAACTGAATGGGAAGTTCGTTTTTGGCACCTTCACTCCTACGTCTGCACTCTGTGCTGTTCTGTGGATGTAAACAGGGGTGAATGTCATACTTGACAACATGGGTGCTTCATATTTGGAGAAGAACCTTTCTTCTCTGGTGGAGGATGGCCGAATGGTTGTGATAGGTCTTCAGGGTGGTCGCACTGGCAGTGTGGACCTTGGGCGCATGTTGATAAAGCGGCTCTCTCTGCTTTGTAAGGGTCTAACTGAATTCTGCACTTCGTGTGCTCCAATTCTTCCTGTTATCAGTTTCAAAGGCACCTAACCTAACCTTCGCTCTGTTTTCTCCAGCTGCAGGCCTGAGATCTCGACCACTGGATCAGAAGTCAGAGATTGTGCGTGAAGTGGAGGCTAACGTCTGGCCACTCATCTCCTCTGGCCGATTGAAGCCAGTGATTTTCCAAGAAGTGTCCATAGCAGATGTGCAGACTGCTCATGCACTGATGGAGTCCAGTGTTCACATTGGGAAAATAGTACTCATCCCTTAACTCGGCACTGAGCATTGCTGGAACGTACAACAGTTTGACACTCCAATGTGTATTTCGAACTCAATATTAGTCTTAAAATCAGACCCGTCATTCATGACGGCTCCCTTCTTGAGCGTTTTGATGAACGAGATGCTCCCTGTTCAGAGCCAGGTCAGACATCTTGCAGAGGGAAATTGCTAAGACAGAAATGCTGTACCTGTGAGTGAGAATATTTCGCTGTGGAGAGCGTTGCAGCTGTGCCTTCAGACAGCTCATAATGGGGATGCGATGGAATCTGGGTTGCAAGGCAATCGTCAGAATGTGGCACAACCTCCCTCTGCCTAACACCATCTACACACTTCTCTCCCCCCCCCCCCCCCCCCCCTCTCCCATCTGACTGCCCATTTACTTACCGAAGCAGCCGAATATGACAATGAAGGGCTGGCGGGCTTTGAAAAGATCCGTTGCTGTTGAAACATGCAATAGACAGTCAGCTTGTGCCAGATCTGACTGTACGACTAGAGAACGTTAGAACACACCTTTAAGAGCCGTCCTGTTACAGCTGACGCCGAGCATTCTATGTCTTCAGTGGATGTAAATTTGAGATTTTGATTCAAACACCGCTCCTTCCAGACTGCTAGCTCACTCTTGGCCTGGCACGTTGCAGCAACCCTGTCAGCCACGATGAACAAGCACAAAATAGCAGCAAATGTTCTTACCATTCTCAGCTTCTGGGCAAGTGCCTGTACTTGAGAACTGTTGGAATCTTCTTGCTCTTCGTTGGCTGACTTGAGCAGCTCAACTTTCTCAAGCAACTCATTCTGCAAAGGAAAAGAGTGGTGAGTCAAGAAATAAAAGGGAGGAGCACTAGGTGGCGGCTGAGCCAGTACCTTCTCATTGCGAAGCCTTTTGGCAAGACTGCGCATTTGGATGAGAGTTGTCTCATGGTGTAACAACCTCTTCTTCGTCAGCTCCATCTCGTTTTTGTACGTGCGACCCTCATCCACTTCAGACTTGAGTTGTTCTGAAACACCACAAAATGAGTAAGGGTTTTTTTTTTTTACATTGCAGTTTGATTGCTCGGCATACCTGTTTCTTCCTTCAATGTCAAGTTCTGCAGCTCTAGCTCAGAAATCGTGCTCTTCATTGAAGCCGCTTTCTCATCCAGCTCAGACTTGGTGTCTTGATGGTGTTTCAGGTCTTGAAGGATTGTTTCGACTGCAACCCTGTGTTCGGCCTTGATCATTTCAAGTTCTGCATCCTTCGATGCAAGCTTGTGTTCCAGCCTGGCGTTGCAAAGCTCCAACTCAGAAAACCTAATCTGAATGTCCGTCAGCTTCTTCTCTGATTCAAGCTTCGCGTCTTCGTGGTTTTTGAGGTCTTGCAGCATTGACGAAACCAGATTTCCATGGTCAGCATTAAGCCTCTGAATATCAGCCTCCCGCGATGAGAGGGTGTGCTGGAGCCTGACATTACGAAGCTCCAACTCAGACAAGCTGCTCTGCATCGATGCTGCCTTCTTCTGAGATTCTTGTACTGCTTCTTCGTGGCACTTGATATTTTGCATCATTGATGAGGACAACGATGCATGCTCAGCATTAAGCCTCTCGACCTCAGCTTCTCGTGAGGCGAGGGTCGATTCCAGGAGCATAATTTGTTGTTGGCAAATGTTTAGTGACTTCTTTAACTCTTGATTCTGATTCTTTAAAGTAAGAGCCTCCGTTCTCTGAAAAGGAAAAACGAGTGAGCCCTGATCCACGCCAAGGGATTGACAAGAAGAGTAAACCCACCTGGTGGTGCGTAGATCTGGAAAGGTCTTGAAGTCGCTTAACCAGTTGCGCTGCCAGGGAAAGTGAAGGCTGTTAGCATGTCATATACACGGACATCAACACATGGTCAGCAGGGTGCCATACCTTTTACAGAATTCGCCTTAGAAATGCAAGAGGCAAGTCGACCGTCTTGCTCCTTCCTGAATGTTGAATGTGACTCTTCCAGCTCCTTCGCTTTGCATTTCCCTGAAAGACAGTTCGCTTATGAAAAACTGGCAATCTTGAAAAGGTTTAGAATGGCAGTTAACGCCTTACATTGTTCAATGCGGCCAATAAGGTCGTCGTTTGCCTTCATAAGAGACCGGTTGTGCAAAGTAAACTGAGCAAGCTCGTCCTTAAGCTTGCTCTTTTCTGTTCGTAGATCCTTCACAATAATGTCTTGCTGCCTCCGTTCTTCTTGGAGACCATGATTGAGCTTTTCGGCGATACCTCTCCAGTATTCCTCTACGCAGTAAAATTAAGAACATGAGTGGCACAGAAATCAAACAAGGTGGTCATACGTCGACATCACTTACTGGACCTTGTTTCGTTTTGTAAGGCCTTCACGAATTGTAGACCAAGGAACAGAAATTGTTTCTTGGTGAGTCGTATACAAGGAGATGACTCCGCAGCCGTAACAGTGAAGCCGAGTGGTGTTTCTAGTGACGTAGTAATTCCGTAATCCCGGTGTTGGAAACCCCATTGTCGCCAAAGGTTGGGCAAATCCACTTGGATTTTCAACGCTTTATGTGTCACCTGAATATCATCTGTTGTCACGGAACAACTGAGCTTTACAGGACTTACATATCGACACAGCTCAGTGACCTGGGTATGTGGATGTTCGACGTGGTGGATGCCCTCAGAGGCACAACAAAAAGCGGCGTCACGACCCGATTGGCTGTGAGTTTCAAAAAGGCGCAAACTTGTCTCAGTGCTCGGATCAGGAGGTTGTCGTAAGCCATCGTGGTCTTTAGCGCTGAACAAAACTCTGCCCCCACTTCCGTCATTGTAAGCATCAAGACCCGTAATAACGACGCGAGAATAAGTCCCAGCTCCAGGATCTGCCCCAGCGTGCCCTTGCGCATTGCCCATAGCTCTGTCAAAGCCACGACAACCCAGATAACTGTTGTGAGGAAGTTGGGCAGCTATCAGTGGTAGCCTAAATCAGGAAGCAGACTTCAGGGCGTGCGCCCGAAGGGAATCAGGTAGGAAATATTCGAGAACAAGGCTCCACGCTCTCCAACAAAGTTCGGACGAAGTTCCACCGCACTGTGCCGCGTGGTTATTTAATTAATTAGAGTCTAAACCGTTTCTAACTCACTGTACCCCTCACCTCTGTTTGACCACCCCTGTGTTCGCAAGTCCTGAGAGGTTCACACAAGATCGTTCACCTGTTGGCTGGCCTCAGATGTGGATACAGCAACCATGATAAATAGTTGTACAGAGTTCACATAATGATAAGTGCTGAAGTAGTTACTGGTAGTTATATTCAACACAAAGGGTATCTAGTACCTACCACAACTTAGATGGCTTGTCCCATAAACTTTCCCCTAGAACGTACAATCCAATGTCTTTTTAGGAATTCAAATACTTCTTTTCTGCTCCAAGGCGAGCTTCTTTTCATGGCCAAATGTTATGGTACGCTTTGTCAGAACTCAGTCACTAACCACTGATTTTAAAGGGGTTGTTAAGTAGCGCGTAAGTGCGCCCATTGTCAAACATATATTGTATGTTCCTGTAGACTATATAGGGTTGTGCCTTAGGGAGTACAACCCATTAGGTTATATTCCCTTGTATGCCTTGTTCTAGACCATTCTTTCACTTGAACATGGTATCATGAGTAGGTAGCGCTTCCACCCTAGGTCCTAGCCGCCTTGTTGCCTCGCGGCCCGTCACCTCGCGGCCCCGCGACCCATCACCTAGCGGCCACATGGCTCCGTCCCCTGGCGGCCCCGCAGCGCCGCCACCTAGCGGCCCCGCGGCTCCGTCCCCTAGCGGCCCCGTGGCCCCATCACCTCTCGGCCCCACGGCCCCGTCACCTCTCCGCCCCACGGCCCCCCCTCCTCGCCAGCCCCGCCTCCTAGCCGGCCCCGTCGCCCAGCCGGCCCCGTCTCCCTGCCGGCCCCGCCTCTTTGCCGGCCCCGTCGCGGTGCCGCCCGCGGCCCCGTCTTCTAGACGCCTCGTCGCCGTCCTCGGCCCCTCTGCACCGCGCTGCACCGCCCGACACCGCTCTACACCGCACTGCACCGTGCTGCACTGCACCCTACCGTATTGCACCTCCCTCCACCGCACAGTACCGCACTGCATCGCACATCACCGCTTTCCGCCGCGCTCTCCTGCCTAGTACTGTCTTTCTCCTGCTGCTGCAACCATGATGGCGGACTCGGTTTTGCGTTTTGATGCTGAGGGGCAGCCGATTGAGTTCGACTCGTGGCTCGTCGACCTCCAGCGACACCTGACTGGTCAGCGGCAGGACGGCCACTCCCTGGCCGTCCACATCGACGGTACGCTCCCCTTCTCGGACCCCCCTGCTGCCCTCCCCGCTAACCCCACCTCTGTTGACCGTGAGTCCGTTGCAGCTGCTGCCCTTGCTTGTGCTGTCTGGTTGCCGTGTGACGCTGTCGCACAGCTTGCAATTAGTCATGCCCTTCCCCTGTCCGAGCGTTCCCGCCTTAGGTCCGTCAGGACTGCGCAGGAGTTCCTAGAGGCTGTTGTTGCGCGCTATTCCACCCCGCCCTCTGCCTCTGTAGGTCGCCTGATCCTGCCCATGCTCTTTCCTGACCTTGCGTCTTTCCCAAGTGTCGCTGACCTAGCAGCACACCTTCGCACACTAGACACGACCTGGCGCGCTGCCTGCACTGAGGCTTAACTTCATTTTTTTCAGCCCCCCATCTGCTCTACCCTCTACCTGCTTGCCACCCCCCTCCCTGGCCGCCTTGCCACCGCCCGCGATGACTTCCTTAGTCTCCACCCCGCTGACCTCACCCTCACTGACTTTGTCGACACCTTGTCTGCCATAGAGACACGTCAGCGCTCTATCGCCCAGTCTAGCGGTACCGTGCCAGTCTCTATCTTTCAGGGCTGTGCCCCTGCTTAGTGCTCTTACTCTGACGGTTTTGCTGCGGTTGCTGAGACAGCTCCGGCTATGAAGACAGCCGCCGCAGTGCAATTTCGTCCAGGTAAGGGTCGTCGCCTCTAGGCTGGGTGTGGCTGAGGTAGCGGAGGAGGGGGTGGTGCCGGTGGTGGAGGTGGCTCGCCCGCTAGTATTACTGACAAGGGGTCTGGGGCTGGTGCCCCAAAACAGCAGCCCCAGCAGCAGCAGCAGGCTCCACAGCTGGACCAGCAGCAGCAGCAGCGGAGGGTCGGCCGTCTCCCGCCCAGGTGGCTTGGAGCTGGAGGTGACGATGGTCGCAATGGTCGCTCGCGCCGCGTGTTGTCGGGTGGTAGTCAGAGTGGCGGGCACTGCCAGTACCAACTCCAGACCGGTCCTCACCGCAACCTTGTGTGCGGTAAGATCGAACATACCCCCGCTCGTTGCTTTCGTCGCCTAGACGACCTGTTTTGTCTCTGCTTCGGCCCGTCGTCTGACCTCTCCGACTGGCACAGTCTACTTCGTCGTCGTGTTCAGATCTCTGATATGGACATGGATGAGATTAGTTCCGCTTTGTATGCGTTGTATGTTGATGACTCTAGTGTTGCCCCGTGTTGCCTAGCGTAGGTGTGCCCAGAGTGCGTAGTTCAAGCTTCCCTACTGCGTCAGGCGTAGGATCCCCTGCCTTGTTTAGCCTAGGGTCCTCCCTTGCTCCTCCGACCCCTGTCGCCGCTGCTGCGCTCTCCTTCACCCTGGACTCCGGTGCTTCCCGGTGTTTCTTTCGCGACTCCACGACGCTTACGGCGTTTGCCGCTCCTGCTGCATTTGCTCTTGCAGACCCTTCCTCCGGTTCTGTAGTTTCCCGTAGCTCCATTACTCTCCCTTGTCCGGCGGTTCCCTCAGGCTCCCTTACAGGCCTGCACATCCCCTCGTTCTCTAGGAACCTAGTTGGTGTCGGCTGCCTCCAAGACCTTGGCGTCACCACTACGTTCCCTGGGCACGAGCCGTACGCTGTTTGTACTAAGGCTGCCAGTGGTGCCCCCCTCACCACGTTCCCCCGGGACCTGGTGTCTGGCCTGTTCACGATGGACATCGCTTCCCCCCCAGTTGGGACGCCTCCCCAGGTACCTGCGTCTTCCCAGGTTGCTGCGGCGTGCTCGTGTCGGTCGCTTACTCACCCATCACATATGTGGCACCACTGTGTAGGTCACCCCGCCCTCACCCGTCTCCGTCACATCTCCTAGCACCGTTTTATACAAGGCCTCTCTGAGTCGTTACCTGCGCTCCCCTCCTCACCCGCGCCTCCGTGCACGCCCTGTGTCGAGGGCCGGCTCCGCCGTGCCCCTCACTCTTCCTCGTTCCCCCCTACCTCCGCACCGCTGCAGACCCTGCACATGGACGTCTGGGGCCCCGCCCCCATCCATGGGCCGCGTCGCGAGAGCTACATTCTAGTGCTTGTCGCCCCTGGACTCCTCTCCGGCTCGTTTCCCTCCCCGTTCTCCTCCTGTGTCTCCTCCCCTCTCTCCTGACCCGACTCCTCCGTCTCACGTCTGGTCTCGTCGTCCGTCTCGTGCTAGTCCTACCTCCCCTGTTCCGCGTTCTCACCCTATGTTGCTTCGCTCTCATGTGTCTCGTGCTCCTCCTCTCCTCCCGTCTCCTCCTCCGTCGTCGCTTGCTGTGGCCCCACCTCCGTTCTTAGACTTCCTCCGTGCTGCGCGTCCCCTTGTTTTTTGTGTCCTTGCCTCTCTCGTTACCGACCCGTCCGTTCCTATCTCGAGTCTGTCGGCTCTTGACGTTGCTGTCACTGACTTTGCCGCTACCCGCCGCCTGGACTATGCCACCCCTCTGGTCTCTGACCCTGCCTGCCCTCCGACCGTCGGGGGTGTGGCTGCTCTTAGCAGTGACGTCCTAGAGGACAGGCAGTTCGAGCTTGCTTTCCTCTTTGAGGCCACTCCCCATCTCTCTTTTATGCTATTAGCCCCTGAGGGTGACCTAGACGCCTTGACATCCCGACCCCTCGCACCTACGCTGAGGCCACCTCAGGACCCTGGGCCTCTCAGTGGATAGCTGCCATGGAGCAGGAGATGGCATCTTGGAGATCCACCGGTACCTTTGTCGACAAAGTTCCCCCACCTAGGGTGAACGTAGTCGATGTCCGGTGGCCCTTCAAGGTGAAGCGCCCTCCTAGAGAGCCGCCTATCTTCAAGGTGCGCTATGTCGCTCGAGGCTTCACTCAGTATGAGGGGGTGGATTTCTTTCAGAATTTCGCCCCGACCCCAAAGATGACTACTCTTCGAGCACTGCTACACGTAGTAGCACAGCGTGACTAGGAGCTGCACTCCCTCGACTTCTCTACAGCTTTCCTCCAGGGCAATCTACACGAGCAGGTCTACCTGCGCTGCCCCCAGGGCTGCTCCGGTACCTTTCCCCCTGACACCGAGTGACTCCTTCGGCGCCCCGTCTACGGCTTGCGATAGGCGCCCCGTGAGTGGCACGACATGCTGCGTGCTACACTTGCTAACTTGCAGTTCTTCCCTTTGTCTTCCCTTCGTTCCCTCGCTCTTTGTCTGTTTCGGCCAGACTCCGTTCTACATCCTTGTCTACGTAGACAATCTGGTCGTCGCTACTACAGACTGAAATGCACTGGTCGCCGTGAAGGCCGAGCTGCTGAGAAGACACACCTGCACTGACCTAGGAAAGCTGCACCACTACCTTGGCTTGCAGATTTCCCCAGATAGAGAAGCGCGCACCATCACTCTCTCACAGTCACACTTGGTGCGCCAGGTCCTTTAGAGGTTCAGCCTTCAGTTCTCTTCCGCACAGCCCACCCCTCTGTCAGTAGACCACAGACTCTCTGCCCCTGTCCTTGAGGAGGCTGTAGAGCCTAGTGGTTCCTACGTAGAGCTGGTGGATTGCCTCATGTACCTGATAACTTGCACTCGTCCAAATCTCGTATACCCTCTCAGCATCCTGGCTCGCTTTGTGGCTACAGGTAGACACCGACTACAGCACTGGTCGACAGCTAAGAGGGTTTTGCGCTATCTAGCAAGTACATCGGGCATGGGGCTAGTGCTAGGAGG